GGTGTCACTCCCTATAATCTCAAGATTGCAAAGGTTATTCCGGTTTTTCAATCAAATGTTCCTGGGTTTTGACAAATTAGCATCCTATTTCAGTTCTTCCATGCTTTTCCAAAATTTTAGAAAAACTGGTATATAAATGCATTCTGAAACACATGTAAAATACTGTCTGAACACCAACATGGATCCTGCAAAAATCATTCTACCCACTTGGCTTTAGAGAAAAAAGAATTTGCACGTGGTATTTTTCCGGATCTTTCAATTGCACTTGATGCTGTCAATCATGTCTTTTTTTATTTTTTTTCCCCCAAATAGATTGGCATTACATGTGGAAGAAAAAACTCATTTCGTGATAGTTTGCGGGGAAAATTAATTGTGAATTGGGCTCTCGGGAAACTTGGAAAAAGCATAGTAGATTGGTTTGCAGCAAGGTTACAAAATCTCTGGGAATTTTTTGAATTATTGGATTGTGAATACATTCTTCATGTTTTTTTTTTTTTTTTAATATTACACTGTAGTCTGGTCTATCCATATCCCACATATTATCATAACATTTTATTGCTTGCAAAAGCGTTTTGTCTTAACGGCTACTTTTTCAAACTCACGTTTCCCAACGACTCCATCCATCCATCAATCCATTTTCCGATCCGCTTTATCCTCACAAGGGTCGTGGGGGTTCCTGGAGCCTATCCCAGCCGTCTTCGGGCAGTTGGTGGGGGACACCCTGAACCGGTTGCCAGCAAATCGCAGGGCACACAGACGAACAAACATCCATGCTCACACTCACACCTAGGGACAAATTAGTAGAGGTAAGATCGGGCCGCCCGAGCCCGAGCGACGATTCGGATCGGGCCTTAAAATGTCAATCATTGCTTCGGGTTTGGGTCGGGTCGGGCTTCTCTCTCTCTCTCTCTCTCTCTCTCTCTCTCTCTCTCTCTTATGGTGGACACTATTCTGTCCTTGTTCAGAATAGATCCACTTGTCGGCAGTCGTGGAAGAAAGACGTGTTTACAGTCAATCGTGTGTGCTCCTTATGACTGCCACAATATATGTTTTAAAAAATGTATACTAAAACAATGTGCGGATACTAAACTAAGGAATACTTGTTTTAAAACAAACAATTTGGATAAAACAGAGAATGCGCT